AATGATATGAATTCGAGTGTATCTTGTGTAATCCAGAAATAATTTATACTATGCTTTATGGAGTTTTGGAAATGTCTACTTTCGTTGCGTAATAATCAGTACGAGCAGCGTGTAGAATAGTAGTGTAACGTACGTAATGGTCACGATAATGTAGTAAGAGATGTAATTATAGCTCTAAGGAAATGATAAATCTTGTTTTATATTATGTAGAATACGAGCGCCTCCTTATGTTGCCGTCAATGGCAATTGCTAATTATTTATTTGCATTTTTTCTTAAATGTTTATAATTTTTAATATTAAAATCGAAAGCAAGTTGTTGTAATCGCCGAATAGTCCACGTACGACGTCGCTTGCTGGTTACAATGTGACTACATATTAATGTTCAGAAATCATCAATAAAGCGATTAATTAAGCAGCTTGTAAAGTTACATGGTAACCAATGACGGCGTCGGGCTGAAGTGCTTTGTATCATGGACTTCATTGTGTAATAAGAATTATATTTTATAAATTGTTTATTTGCTAATACAATATAAGTTAAATGTGTTGTTTATTTTATTTACTTCCTAAATAACCCGAAAAATCTAGTAGTTATTACAAAGGAGAACGGCAGATTTCGTACCGCTTTGCTAAAAAAAGATTTGTCATTGTTTTGCCTTGGGCAATTGGGTAGCTATAGAATCCTCTAAATACGTTATGTTAGCATATTTAATAGATTTTTAGAACTTGGGAAGCCCTAGAAAATCTGATATTCAATAATGATAAGAAGCAATCAACAAAACGGCTACATATTAAATAAAAACAAACCGCGATTGACGTTTTTAAAGTTGCCATGCGTAAACATGAAATCAGAGTATATTGAATGTCGCTATTTCATAAACTCATTTATTTTAATATCAATGGAATATTTTCCTTTCCATTTCAAACATTTTTTATAAGTAAATATCATTATTTTAATTTCATTTTGTGAGGTCTACATGGATTATTAACGATAATTAACATTTTCACAAACTTGAATATGGCAATGTTGAACTGGTATTTGACATTTGTTGTTGAAGACGATTTGTCAATGTCAAGTGCGCCTTGCTGTTGGTTTCGAATGCGGTGTTATGATGTGTTTGTACAAATTGGAAGTCATTTTATTCATCTGGTGATACTTTGAGTTGGGCAGCCGTTCCTCCGTAGCCGAAATTGCGAAAATACACTTATTTTCATTTGTGCATAGTGTGTTGTATTTTGTCGCGATGACGAATTTACAGTGCATTAATTACAACCAGAGTTTGTCGCATGAGACGGCATGCTCTAGGAAATGAGAGTGAAGACTAGACGTGGTCAACAATATCCCATTGTGGACTTATCCTAGAGATGTAAGTAGGTACTTACCTATAATTACACATGACGTATCGAAAGTCACCTTGTTGCCTAAATAAAGGGGGCATAGTGTTATCTACCTATAATGTATCATTTTATTCTAGATCTCTCCTACCGACCATATTTGCCATGCTTGCTGGCAATTAGCAATGTATTGGGATGTTCCTGAAAGTATGTCCAGCAAACAAACTGATCATTGACATGTCTGTGTCGTATGTGGGCATTCCATTGCAAGGATAAGGTGACGCAGGGGTTTAATTGAAGGCGCCAACGAACAGGAGCAAAGACTAGCTCATATAGTATCTGATTGGATTCAGCCACGAAAGGTAATAATTTATTGTATTAACCATATACTATTATCATATAATTTAAAGTCAATATGACATTCTAATAATATTACTTTTTTTAGCTTACTTCCAATGATGAAGATCGTGTTCCATGCTGGCTGAGAGCCTTAACAAGAGTCGGATCTATAAGACCACAACCTGACATACCACCTCATAGTGTTCACTATCAGGATGTAATGTGTTATGTAAACATGGACTAAGCCTCACTTTAACATTGCCGTTTGTAGAACAGATGAGGCCAGAAGATGTTGATCGGCTGTCAGAGCTTCAATAGGTATGTGAAGTGTATAACCGGTTTATAATAGGTTTATACACATGTTATAATTATAATAATTGATTAATTAGCATGCTGTTTGAGCTCCTATGATGTGTGTTATAGGAATACCCTATTAAACTGTCAAACACCAAGCGGTCACCGGTGACCGCAACCTATTGTTCTATAATTGTGTCTATAATGATGGTACTCGACGAGTTAAAGGCATTTTAACATTGTAAAATCAAATAATGTAATCAAATATTTATTTTTATCTTTTCTATTTTGAGATAGGGAATCAGAATTATAACATGTGAAACTAATGGAAAAAATGTTGTTTTGTTTACTTTATTTACAGTTATCTTACTTGTTTACAGATATCAGCAATTAATGAAGTGTGTGCTGTATGACACCGCCTGCTCTCTTTTTAGAAGAAGTACTCCTAGAAACAACCTAAATACAATGAAATAAAAGTATTTCAAAATAATACATTTGTTTTATTTTAAACAGGTACCTAGTAACTATATATAAACAATCTATAAAATAAATGCCATCTTTATTTTAGATTGCTTTAGTTTTATACCAAAAATGTTCATTTTCATTTTACATTTCTTTACTTGTGTTGTGGTGGCCAGGAGGTTTAAGAAGCCCGTTTCTCATGCATGAGAGTGCAAGTTGCAACGGCAAAGTACCAATGTGACTTTTTCGAGTTATGTATATATATTTTTTATTTATTATTTAATAATCTAAGAAAGTACAAAGACACCACTGACAAACGGTGAAGGAAAACATTGTGAGGAAACCTGGGCTTATAATTTCTAATTATAAGTTTGAAATCACCAACCCACATTAAGCTAGCGTACTGATTAAACTGTCAAACACAGAGCGGTCACCGATGACCACAACCTATTGTTCTTTAATTGTGTCTATAATTACGGTACTCAACGAGTTAATGCTTAAACCTAATCCAGTGAGAAGAGACCTTCGGTCGGCATGGGCCACTTATAGACTTAATGATGAAACTGATGATGATTTTACTTATTTGACTTACTTATTAGAAATTAAACCTTAAAACGCTTGCTAAGCAACCAGTTTTCAGAAGAAATACTTTCTCAAAGAGCTACGCTTAAGTTTAAATCGAATTAACTTAAAGACTATTTGTATATCAGGCCTCTGCCTCGAATCTTGATTTTACACATTAAATCTTGCATCTGCCCGCAAGATTCAAGGTGAAGTGAGACATTAGTTTTATCATATCCGCCAAAAGACGTCCACTGCTAAATGTAGGCCTTCTACCCAATGACAGTCGCTCACAATATTAATTTGCATTTTCGTAGGCACCTAGTAAATGAAAGAGATTGTAAAGCATACTCTGTAAAACTCTATAGTTACAGCATACTTGCTGAATTAACAGTTAATTAATTTACTCATAATACAAAGTGTAACAGTCACGAGTAGCGAGCAGTGTTTAGAGTTTAGTTTGTAAACAAAACAACCAAATAAAAAATAAGTCAACATTGACATTTTTCAATTAACTGTCATCTGTCATTTGTCATATTATGTACTTTTGCGTAAAGGTGGCATTATACTTGACATTGCGTATTTGTTGTGTACGGCCAAAACAGACCATGTGTGGAGGGTTTATTCGTCTTCATTTGCTATATACGTATATTTGCACGCTTTTACATTTATAGATACTATTTGGACGCCATTTGTACGTAGTTCACAAATATTTGTACAAATGAAGCGAATACGCAATGGCAAGTGTAATACCGCCTTTACGTACCTTCTGCACATTTTCAAAGTGAAATAACTTTTGAACCCGAAGTTCTAAAAATATGTAATTTTTTTCTAAACTTCATAATAAAAATATCTATCGTTCAGACCATTCACTTGGTTAAAACAATGACAATTACAAAATTTTATAGCGGTACCAAACCTCCATACAAACCTGCCATTCTCCTTTGCCAGAAATAAATCGAAAGTAAGTACTTATATCGTGAAATTAATTAATAAATAGGTATACTACACATTGTTTTTAGAGATTTCATGGCATTGAACCGTCGAAACAATTACGTCGCAATAGTAGCGCCAAGTTTAGTGGTGCATTGACTACTAATTAAATATTACGTTAGCGAAAAATGGAATTGAATTCATAATGAATTAATGACCTGATTAAAATAATTAGGTATACAGCAGCAAATTATACCTACTTAGCAAATTTTTAGATAATAATCACTAAATTAATATTATTAGATAATTTACGAATAAAAGTAGGTACCTAACTAAACGAAACCAGAAATAAAATGAATTTGTAAGCGAGTAGTGCTCAATGCAAAGAATGTAATACTTTGTAGTTTTTTAAATGTAGATTTTATTTCATGAATACATAATTAATATCTAGGTAATTTCAATTTCAAATAATATAAACTCTTCGATTTCCGAGTCGGGAAGAGTACTACGGGGTTTAAAAAAAAATCTCAGTAGTAGCACGGAGTCTGGAATCGTACCCGATATATGGCAATATTAACTCATCCCCTATTACATGGGACTCATATATAACATAATAATATATAGTGAAAAGTGGGTGTTACATCGCACTACAGACACTACATAGCACTACAGTGCTTTAATGTGTGCGACGTTATTTTATTTTGAAATAAAATATTAATACATACAAATTAAAAATCATAATTTGAAGATGCCATTTGATAATTAGGATAATTATTAACAACATTAATTGGTATTTTCTAGTCATAAAAAGTAAAATTTACTGAAAAGTTGCGTAGGAAAACGAAACGCGTTACGCGCCTTATCTATAAGGGTTACAAATTAAAATAATAATAGTTTAGTTTCCCATTATTAATTAAACATTTATTAAAAAGTATATTTTCGTACAGTTATATCTTCCTCCGTGAGTCTTTCATTAATAAAAATGTATTTTATTTCGTATTTGTGTATCAAAAATATGCTACTTATCAAATAAAGTTCAAACTTAACGAATGGAGTGGCAACACTCACTCACGTTCGCTTGTTTGAGCTTGAACGAAACGAAATTTATTGTTGCAAAGTGCATATCACGAATCTGTCGGGGTTTCCGTGATATTTTTATGTGTTAAACTAAATCAAATAGTAAAGAATAACTAAATTACTCAGTTAGAAAAGAAACTAGAATAGTTTTAGTGATAATATAATCAGTGTAACAGTTGTTTTATTATCAGTGTTTCGCACTTTCATTTTTACATCGTTGCTAAATATTGCAAAATGACTTCTGCACTGTATTTAGAACATTATTTGGACAGTCTGCAGCATCTGCCGATAGAATTGCAGAGAAACTTTAAGTTAATGCGTGATCTAGATGACCGTGCACACGGACTAATGAGGACGATCGACCTTATGGCTGACGAGTTGCTACCACAAATCCCAAAAATGGACGAAGAAACCAAGAAAGAAAAGGTAAATACCATTCAAGGACTATTCAACAAAGCCAAGGAGTACGGAGACGATAAAGTGCAACTTGCAATACAGACCTACGAGTTGGTTGATAAGCACATACGTCGCCTTGACTCTGACCTCGCACGATTTGAGTCTGAGATACAGGAGAAAGTAATGAGCGCACGTGCCGCACAGCAAGCCGCTGCTGACCAGGAACCCAATGCTGCCACTGTCAAGAAGGGTAGGAAGAAAAGTAAAATTAATGATAAGAGTGCATCTACCACGGGCAAGAAGAAACGTGCCGGAGCGTCTAGTGAAGACGACGCCGCCGCTTCAGGCAGGTCGGCAGCAAAGAAAAAAGCGGTACGTAAAGGTGCAGCTGCTACTGCTAATAATTCTAAAGAACAGGAGGAGAATGCTGATTTAGATTCTGTAGGAGGAATGGCTCACCCCAGTGATGTGTTGGATATGCCTGTGGATCCAAATGAGCCTACATACTGTCTCTGCCATCAAGTGTCATATGGAGAGATGATTGGGTGTGACAATCCTGATTGCCCTATAGAATGGTTCCACTTTGCCTGTGTGGACCTTAAGATCAAGCCTAAAGGTAAATGGTACTGCCCTAAGTGTACCCAGGATAGAAAGAAGAAATGATCCACAGCCAAACCTACTGCTAAGCAAACAGATAAGACTGTAACTTTAAAGAAAGAAGTGAAGTGACTAAATAGTTGTTGGTAAGGTATATTAATATATTGTATTATAGCCCCAACATGTGAAATGTGATGTATTTTATGATAAGTTCATGTTACACCGAGGTGTATTATTATGAGGAAACATTTCTACAATACTTGAAATGCGTGTGCAATAATTGTGAAAGCTAAGTTATTGTATTTTGTGTTGTTATGTCATTGTGATATAAAAACAGAAAATATGTCATATTGATTTATATAAATTTTTGTATTATAATATATAGTTAAATTACTAAGGCCTTGTTTTTATTGATAGGGCAGATGTAGTAAAGTATCAATGACTAACTTCTCTTTCAAATTTTGGATGTTGCATTTCAATTATCAATTTGTTAGCACAAAATAGTGTTCAATTAATATTGTATGGAGTAGCCATGCATAATTACATCATTAGTAGAATAAATAATACATAATATATAAATAAATTTAATATATGACATGTTAGGAACAATATGTTAGCAGCTTCTATTGGTAAGGATCATCTTATGATGTTATCATATGCCTTATTTAGCATTTATTTGTAACTGGCATAATGACACAGTCATAGAATTAAGTTTTTATATGATATAGTATAACAAGTTTCGTGATTTATTGTACATAAAGCATTCAGGATTAATTGAGATAAATATACATACAACACATTAATATCAGGTTATTTTACATGTGTGTTATATATCTTAAAAATAATAGTTATCAATAGTTAGTTGCCTCATACATAATGTTATAAAATATATCAAAATAGTCTGAATGTTTACTAAATGTGAAAGATGTAGTTGTAAGTAAATAATATTATTTTAATGTGGTTGTCCTTAAATGAAGGGGGAATTCTGTGGGACACTGACTATACTTTGGAAAACACATTAAAGTTGTAAAATTACATTAATCATGATTGCACAATTTGTAATGATGACCAATGCCTAAACCATATTAATTAATTAATGAAGTTGTAACTAATATGGTTTAGCTAACTCCAGTACTCATTAATTTATTAATCTAATTGGGTACTTTCCTTAGTCCAAAATAAATTATTTTGAATGTTCAATACAATACAATATTTAAAGAAATCACACTTTCATATGACCAAGTTAATGTTAGTATTTTTCCAGGCAATTTTTAAGAATTAAGTGTACACAATCTTACATAAAATTCATAGAAAACTGTTGTTTTTGACATTTCAAAAAAAGTTTTGAATTTGTCTAGTTGGCAAGTACCCAATTACTAAATATCCCATTTAAGTGCCCTACTATTAATTATTGTTCACCTTGTAATGACTCAATATGGGAAGATGTCAATGGGTAAATAAACCATAAGTACCGAGATTTGGTTGCCAGGATGGGGCTAAACAGATAATGATTTTACAACTCTAATTTTCTCCACTTTCTTGATTTATTGAAACAAGAAATCTGTTTTTATCTTTTAGTTCTTGTCTTACAGAATTTGAGTGAGAATGGCGATTGACTGATATCAATAATTATCGTGTAATATACAGGTGTAATATTTAGATTTTGGTTCATTAGTTTCTGAGAATGAATCAACTAACACTTTGTCAATCTTGGCTAAATAAAACTATGCATAATATTTTCTAGTAAAATACAAATTTTCTTCATCCTCGATAGTGTTTTGCTAATATTCAAAGGGATCGGAGAAATGTGATGAGAATGAATTGGTACATAGACAAAAATAATGTGGAATGAAGGACAATCTGGTGTGCACTTGTACTAAACATTTATTTATTAATGTAAGGAGATCCTATATAAATTATATGCCTGTCTGTACATAGTCCTATATAATCACAAAGATATTTGAGTTCTTAATCTTATTTTTTTAATGTTACATGTTAAGTTGTATTTCTGTTATACAAGCAATATAGCTTATAGGATCTATTACTGTTTTTATTTAAATATTAAGATATACTTCTAAATATTTGAATATTATTGCAGTTATTGACTTATTATTTTAGTAGCTGGCAATAGTACTTTATATGGATAATTCTGTACACCAAATATTATTGTGTAAAATATAATTTAAGTGAATATTAATTTGATGTAATTGAAAATTGTTGGATTAGGTGTTTCATAATGAATTACGCAAATGAGTATTATGTTTTCAGTTTATTATGCTCTATGTGGGTGACTTCTTTATTCCTTAACCTGTTCCTGTATATAAGATGACATGCCTAGATATTTATAGTTAAATATTTGTTCTACCAAGGTGTGGAGAAGTTAATACATAGAGCATTATATTATATTATATTTTGTCCATACATCACTTTTATATATGGTAACCTAATAAGGGTGCCTTTATGAACTATAGATTTTTGTACTGTAATAGCACCACTGATTCAGGTTTAATACTATTTGAAGACAAAATATCAGATTATATAAGTATCTAGTGATTGTAATACTATCAAGTGTCGACATTATTCTGAAATCAATTTAACATGAAATGGTTCCTGGATCACAACCGGTAGGAATGTTTTGTTATTGCCATTTTATTATGTTTAATAAATAATGTAAACCTTAATTTTGTTCTTTTTATTCCTTCTAAGAAATCCTGATCACATACAGCCACGAGTATGTTTCCCATTCTTCGAAATTGGTGGTTTATTCAGAAATTAAGGACACCATGATGAAATAAAGTCAATCTAGTTGGTCGAGTCGCGAGTGGCCAGTGGCCACAACTACATAAAATATGAATTTCAACTCATTGGGTTTGATACCCGTTTCAGATATTAATTTCATCTTTTAAAATTTGGTACGTTATTCAGTGTGCACATCTCCTGTCTACCCTGTATTAGAAGTGGAAAAAAACAGTCAGATAAGTATAAAATACAATGTGAAACCTCGTGTTCGTGTTCACAAACACATTTCGCGTTTACGACCAAAACAAAGCAACGTGACAGCCTCGTAGTTTCCTAGTGATTTGTTAGATGGCGTTACTTGTGGGTTATTTCATGGCAATTGTAATTTGCTTCTGAAGTTTTGTAAATCCTAAGTGTGTATTGTTGTTACATTACATAGTTACAGTATTTCTATTTTAGATATTCCATACTATGACTGCACTGTTAGTGGCAACACAACAAGCGAAATTAAGCGGATATGTAACCTGCTGCGGGTTTGATTACACAGTCCCTCACGGCATGACAGAACCCTTTTCTATGGGTATATTTGTAGGCAATATTCGCATCGCACGTGCCACCCGACGAGAAATGCGTTAAATGCGTGGAAAACTCCTCGGAGAATTGCATGTGTGTTATGATTTATGATAATCTACTACCAGTTTGTATGCGCTTTCGAAGTTAGCGTTTTGCAATGATTCTCCAGTTATTTTTTATTTTTAAACATTTTATTTCTTTGTAAAACTCTTGTATCTATTAGGTACCAAGACAGAACCATTTTAACTACTTCGGAACGAAAACGAATTAGATTTCGCAATGTAGATTTAAAAATGTGAACGTCCAGTAATAAAACAAAAGTGAACTAAAGACTATCTCCTGCCTTCCATTTCAGAGTACTTAGGTACCTACGTACCTAAATAAAAGGAGTAAATGTCCGTTAAAGTAAAAACGGTAGCAAACAGTTTTTTTGCTATAGAGAGATTTTAGTCATTATTTTAAAATTCTATATTTTGGGCTTGATGGGTCTATAATTAAAATTTTATTCAAACAAATACAACGTCTAGTCGATGATCACTCTGGAATCCTTGGCCTAGATTCCCAAACCATTCCGAGTTTACTCACAAACTCTCCTTCCGAACAACTGTAGGAGTTCATTTATTTAATATAATTTGTTTTTATAATTAATAACTATCGTGAGACATACTAAATTAACAAAAAATCGCGGGTTACCCTACTGAGAAAAGCTTTCATCATCATCATCAATAGCCTATATTAGCCCACTGTTGAGCAAAGCCTCTTCTCACACGGAGAAGGTTTGAGCATTAATCACCACGCTTGCTCAATGCGGGTTGGCGATTTCAAACTAATAATTAGAAATTATAAGCCCAGGTTTCCTCACGATGTTTTCTTCACCGTTGCCAGTGGTGTTTGAATAATCATAGAAAGTACATATAACTTGGAAAAGTCACATTGGTACTTGCCGTTGGTAGGTTTGGAACCCGCTCCCTCATGTAGAAGAAGCGGGCGTCGTAAACCTCCGGGCCGCAACGACACTACGACTACGAACCACAGAGAGGTTCTTCCTCATGAGCAGCGTGAGCGCTCGCGGCGATGTCGCGATGTGTGGTGCCAAACTAGTAGAGCTTTTCTCAGTGTATTCACGTGAGTAACCCCCGACTTTTAGTTAAGACAATAATATTTATCTGTATTTACTTATATAATCTTATCTTACTATATCTTACTATATAATATTATAAATCAGAAAGTGAGTTTGTTTGTTCCGATTTCACGCCGTAACCACTAAACCGATTGCTTTGAATTTTTGCAGACGTAAAGTTAGAAGTCCGGAATAAATAATAGGGTACTTTTTATCCCAGAAAATTTTGATATTCCCGAGGGAAAACAAAAGAATTGGTATAGATGGCGCTGTGTGTATTGGTATATGTCACATAGGCTAATTTTATCCTTTTGTGACGCGAGCGAAGCCGCGGGTAAAAGCTAGTAGTTTATAAGTTTATGAATTTAATTCAAAGTCTCATACCTTACTAATGTGTTTGGTATGAAGAAAAAGGCATCTACCGGCACCTAAAATTATAATCTGTATTGCGCGCGGTTTTCCAGTAAAAAAGCTTGGGTCGTCGCCCCTTCTCCAGCCTCGAGTAATGAGAGCCAAATCAGGTTCATTGCATCAGCCATGATCGACCAATGTGCAGGCTTGCATCAGACGAATAAGTGGTACCTTAGCTGTAGTTTAGATTGCACTAAATTTGTAAACAGATTTTTGCACATTAAGCACTATATTCCTGTTAATCCCCGAAAGGATACAATGTAACATCCACTTTTTATAAGTAATGTTTTGAGTCCCATAGAGACTGATAGAGGGTGAGTTTAATGCCATAAACTGGACGTTATACGAAGATATGCCTGTTATATTTTGAGAATTAAAAAAAAAACAATAAAATTCAGTTCACGTTTTCTGTGATGCGGAAATCGAATCTGTAAAAAGGGGATCGGCAGTCGAAGGCCCACTAGGATTTTCTCCTGTCCGTGAGTGCATTTTCACAAACACATGACACCCAGACCTGGAACTATAATTTGTGAATCACAAAAAGATTTGATTCGTGCGAGAATCGAACCCGCTATAAGTTGCGCGGCAGCCGGTTGCCGCGCAACGTTTAGCGGGTGTGTCACGTCCGTCATAGAAATACGAAAATCTCAAAAACATACATATTATGTATGTTTTTGAGATACATATGGTATATACCATACTATACATATGGTATACATATATCCATGTAAATACAAAATATCAATTATTTGGTCGACCACTCGCTCATTCTAATGGTTTGATTAATTTGATGTTAATATTTTCAACGGGTTAATAAAAAATGATTTTAGAAACGCTGTTTTCTTTCAATAATTTCTATAAGTGACGTCACGAGGGAGGGGGGAGGGACAAAAAATCATGGTATTTGTTTTGTGTGACGTAATTTATGGATGACCCCTTATGGTACCTAAAGACGACACTGCGCACACTACGTAATGCTCCTGTAACTAATGTTTTTATGTAAGTAAGTACCTATTTATTATTACATTGTTATCGTACCTATAAATAATATTTATTATGCATAAAAGTATAATCCCTGTTTTTTATAGTTAAGTCTAAGTGCCTAGTTTCGGTTTGCAACTGCACTTTAGCGCCGTAAAAGAGTATGATAATGCGTAAAATAAATAATAAAATATATTATTTATAATTACGTACTCGATCTCGTCGCGTCATATTATAGTGTTGTCCTCTTTTTGAAACGGCAAAGGGTCGATCGTGCACATTGCATGTGCTCTCTGAGTTTACAAACCACAGCAGTTTATCGGGAACCGCGCGCGGGAAAAGTCGTTCCGCCATTAAATTTTTTTTCTGAGTTCGTATTCGATATTCGAAAATGACGATGCTTCTAAGAAAAATGTGGAAGACCCATTCCAAGCATAAAAGTGAGTAATTTATTACATTTATTTATTTATTTTGTTTTTTTTTATACATTAAACTACGAATGTGCTGTGCAGCAGTTAGTTATGTTATATATAATGAATTAAATTAAAAACAAATAGGTTACTTATAACTTAGATCAACAAGGAACTTTTATTTCCTTAAATAATTTGGAAAAAAATAAGTTCTTATACCAAAGTGACCATATTTATATTGCCGATTTTTTCCTAAATATTAATTTTATAATTGCCCTTGTTTAATTACATAATAATATACCTACTCGAATCGATATTATCGAAGCTTACCTATTATCACGATAGGTTAAACTAAGAAAAGTTTGACTTAAACATGACTTAGGGAGGTACCTAAGGCTTAAGGGACGATTTTTAAATAACTCAGTTTAATTTTATCAGAGGAATAATTTTGAATGTTTGACAATTCTTCCGCTTCGACTAACATAACATCACGCCTTTTATCCCCGAAGGGGTAGGCAGACGCCCGGCACTTAATGCCACTGCACACTTTTCACTATTTATGTTATGAGTCCCATGTAATAGAGGGTGAGCCTATTGCCATATACCGGGCACAATTCCAGACTCCGTGCTAATACTGAGTTTGGTTAAAAAACCTAGTAATACTTTACCTTTGCCCGTCCCGGGAATCAAACCCGAGACCCCTTGCGCGGCAATCGCACTTGCGACCACTCGGCTTTTTTTGTTGAAGGTGGTTTAGCTAATTTAGCTAATTTTATTTTATAAATTAGCTAAACCACCTTCAAAAAAAAAAGCCGAGTGGTCGCAAGTGCGATTGCCGCGCAAGGGGTCTCGGGTTTGATTCCCGGGACGGGCAAAGGTGGGAAAATCATCGAATGCCTGCTCCCGCCTGGGTGAGGCGGGAGGGAGTGTCAGACTCTTACTGACTAAAAACCACCCCGTTCCTTCTTCTGCACGTCGAGCCGGAGCCCCGGTAACCCGTTAAACGAGGCAGTCTTCCGTACTTGTCAAATGTCAATGTGTTAATCTACTGTTAAGAATTAACTGATGATTAAAAATCGGCCCTGAGTCTAATTTTTTTTTACATTGTATGGGCCGACGTTTGACCAGTATGTCGCCTGGTGGCGGCTGGTAGTAAACGATGTCTACGGTGGTCTACGATGGAGTACGTCTTCCCATAAGCAACATATAGGTTATATGGGTATATAGTCCTTTTTATTAGGTATAGATATAAAAGGTACTTGGGAAGTGGTTTTCATTTCATTCTAAGTTATAATCATTTTCATTCTTGGTGCTGTGCGATCTATAGTTAGTGAAGATATGCGATTGGATACATAGTCTCAAGTTCAATTATGGGTTATGGTTATGCTATGGGTTATGCTATTATGCACTAATTTTTTACGTTAATAGGGTTGAATTGAAACCATAACTGGCTAAAAGTGGGTCATCAGAAGGCAGAAAAGAACGGAAGGAAACTATTTATTTATTACTAGCGACCCGTCCCAGCTTCGCACGGGTGCAATATGGATTCATTATACATATAAACCTTCCTTAAGAATCACTCTATCTATTAAAAAAAGTCTAAATCCGTTGCGTAGTTTTTAAGATACATAGGGACAGGCAGACGGCAATAGCGACTGTGTTTTATAAC